TTTTGATTTCTTTTCATTTTATTTTATTCTATTTTATAGTATTTCATTTATTATATTAATAGCTGAGGTCAATGTATTCTAAACCATGCACAAGAATGACAAATGACCAAAAACTGCAACAATGTAAAATGAGACTAAATATTAAAAAAAAACAATAACAATTTATACAGCATAAATTCCTTTTATAAGCATTGCTTTTTTATTGATTTAATTTTTTTTTTTTGGCTATAATATTCATGAGCTCATGAGTCTTGCTTTTTCTGTTATTTCTTGTTCTGAGTATTTTGCGTTCCAGTTTTAAAAAGTTGTTCTGCTTTGTATTTTTTATTTATGTTATTTTTTTGTACTTGTTTTAAGAGTCAATTGGTCATAGTTTTGTTTAAAGTTTCATTTTTTTAATTTTTTTTTATACCTTAACACCGAGATATCGTGAAGCTGGTTGGTAGGAGGAGGCTCGTTTTTACGCTTAACGGTTTCCAAAGAAAAACGTGTTATTTTCTGCAGAGGCGATTTACAGAATTTTTTTTATTAATTTTTATACTCGCTAGAGTGGTGTTTTATGTTAATAACTTGAAATTTTTCTTTGTTGAATTTTATAACTGAGATTTTTTTTCTTGCTTTCATTGTTTTGTATGCCCGCCTTGGTCTCAGATACTTTTCTCTTCGCATAGTTGTTCGAATAGGTGCGCTAACAAGGTGATTAAAAAACTTGTTGTTGTCCCTTCATAAACATATATCGCTTGTAATACATGTTGTTGTGATGGTTATTTTTGTTAAAGAGCTTTAGCTAATCTAAGTTTTAAGGAAGTACTATGCGTAAAAATTATTTTAAAATACACCTATTTTTTGCCCCATATAATAATTATGCTAAAAAAAAGATATGGAATTTGTTGTTAATTTCGATTGTTGCTTTAATTTTTATTTTTCATTTTTTGTCAAACCAGTGTCTTTCGCTTCTTTTATGGACAACAAGTTGTTACTGTTAATCGATAATGCACGCATTGCATTTAACATAATGGCACAGTGATTGCGTAAAATATTGGGATAGCAAAAATAAATTACATACAATGAATCGAAAATGAAGATGCATTTCAAGCAATGGCTATTTTAAGATTTTTTATTATTTAAAAATAAATTATCTAAATCGAATTTAAAAATAAAATTGAAAAAGTGCTTGAAATTAGTTTTTTGAGGTTTGTTCTAATGGTATTTTAATATACTTTAAACCATTTTTAATGAAATCAATTTCATAATTTCATTATTTCATTGCTTCTTCAGCTTTTAACCCATTTCGGTAATATGGCAATTTATTTTAAAAATTATCTAAAGAGCGGTTCACACAGGCACTCAATTAGCTAATTGGGAGCGTTTCAGCGATTGTCTGAAATATATCAATGCCTCTATTTTTATTGGCCCACATAATTTAATTTATAATCTAAAACGCTGCTCACTCAGGCACTCAATTAACTAGTGGAGAGTAAATGAAAAATAAAACAAATAAAATGAACAAAAATTGTGAAAACTTATGGTAAATAAATTTAAATGAATTTTCTATTAAGGAGTGCTTTGCTGGTAAATTTCTTAGAAAATACTATTTTTAAAACAGCAGCGAAGTCCAATCGAAAGATGCTAGACTGAATTATGACGGTTCACTAATCGAATGTGTTTGAAGAGGAAAGTCAGCTTCTAACAGTTACATAATAGTCTTGGCTGTTAATCCGAAATTTTTGTTGCCTAATTGAATATATATGAACTGTTAAACACTAATTGTTTCAACTTAATTGAGGTGCAATTTATAATATTCTTATTTATTAAAAAAATATATATATTTTAATTATTACAATTATGTTATTTATTTATTGCAAATCTTTTATTATAATTGTGTCGAGTTAATTGAATATGTATGAACAGCGATTTCCACTGAATGGCTTTACTTGAATGATTTGCATGCAAGATTTTTAACATTCTCACTTATTAAAATATATATATTTTTTTCCATATCTTATCTTTTTACAATCTTTGAATATAAATATATTTTTTTAAGTTAATTGAATGTGTGTGAACAAAAAATTGAACTTAATTGCCATGCCTAATTGAATTGCAAGCAAAAATTTGTAATAATCTTTATTAAAGTATATATATATTTTTTTTTTTTTTGAATTGCTAATAAACTATTATTTTCTTCATTTATAAATATTTTTTATTATTTGTTTCTTTTTCTCCTTTTGAATTTTATTAGAAATTACTTTTCTTAGCAGATAACCACCACCAAAGAATCTTAGCCACATTCCATGCATTTCACATCCATTAATTTAAATATATTATATACTGTTATCGACGTCATTCTGCTATATAAACGCTTGCATAATATATACTCTTATATGTATGTGTCTGAATCGTAGTAATATTACTTAAACAATAAACCGGCAAACCATGCGCATGCGCAACTCACAAGCAAGCAAGCTAAATTAAACACCTACCAAGTGGAAAAAAAAATTAAGAAAAAAAAATACATAACACGAGTGCCAAACATTATTGCATTATTTTATAAAATTTCATTACAATGTATGTATTTTATTTATAAAAATCGTTCGCAGCTTCATCATCAACTGCATCATCATTGACACTCAGGTGGAGAGTCGTGCCGTTTGACATGCAATAGCACGGGAAAGAAAAAGAAACATCTAAGCTGCAATGCAATGCCCAGTAGCCAACCAATGAGTCAACAATGAGACAACTATGATTTATTTATATACTCGTATGTATTGTATGTACGTGCAGCGCTCTAGTGCCTTACTAAAAAAGCAAATCAAAATATAAAAATGAAAAGCCGTAAAGGCGAAGTGAAAAACAAATAAAAAATATTTAAACCCACTAACTAAATATTTTTTTATTTTTATTTTTTTATTACTTATTTTTCGAATTTTCAATTGTATTCGCGCTTCCCACAACTGATGCTCCCAACCGCATTTACAAGTGTCTATCTTTTTATTTATGTATATAATATATATATACATTTTACTTGTGTTTATCTCTGATTTAAGCATTGAGTGCATCCAAATAATAATGAAAAAATTATGAAAACAAAAAAAATTATGAAAAAAAATTCAATTAAAAATGCTTGCATAACAGTTAAGTGATTTTTCAAATAAATTTATTCACATTTAGGAGAGTACTAAATTTAAATACAATTTTATAAGCAAGAAAAGCAATGAAAATGAAATATTTTTTTTTTTGAGCCTACACAAAGTCTACTTGAGATCTTGAAATTGCATAAATACGATGAAAGTGTTTAGAGATTAAGGAAAAATGCGGTAACCAACTTCATGTAGAGCCTTGTGTAAAGGCTAAAAGAGAGTTAGCTTCAACGGAGCCACTCCGACACATACGGTTTAAGGCTTCATTGCAACGCCCGTTCAGCAGCGGTGTGATTGCGGCATTGAAGCAAGCGATTCGTTGCATTAATGTGCTCCCCACTTGGTCAAGTAGTGCACTGAGTTAGGAACCCGCAACGTAAAAACCCGCTCCAATATAAATCAATTTTCAAAGCCTCGATTGAGAACTTGCTACTTCGGTGAATGATTAAGGTCATGCACTTGGAGTGTCCGATCACTTAATTGGTGAAATGTCATGAAAATAATAAGGCTGTTATCACCGAAATGCCATGGACTTGGCAAGGATGGTAGGAGCTACTTCCTTGACACTTTAATTACAATGGCCATTAAACGGTGTGCATGTTTGGATTTACGCTGGTAGAGAGATTCAATGCCTGAGTCGTACCATGGTTGACCTCGGTGGACGAACGTCATACCACAATCCACTTCAAAATGAAGCCTTTCATCTGACTAAAGATGTTTTTTATGTGCGCCTAGAATGCCAGGATGGCTTTGTTCGATTTTTCATTGGAGAGTTAGACGTTGGTACATCTACTAATTAGATTAAATAGATTATTTATTTACTGTGCTTTTGTTAAAAAAAAATTCTTAAAACAAAAAAAAAAAAACAATTAAAAAAAAATGATAGTTAGATTTGAAATATTAAAACTAAAAAACTTAAAATTAAAAAAATATATATTATATATTTAAAAATGAAAATTTTTAAGGTATTATAAAAAATATCAAAAATATGTATAACCTAAAAAAATGTTTCCTATTCAGAGGAAAAAAAAATATATATTTAATTCCAAATATTAAAAAAAAAATATTACTTAAAAAATATATTTTTTAAAAATTAAATTCTTTTTTTCTATGCACTATAAAAAGTTAATAAAATAAAAATTGTTTCAAAAAAAAATTCACCAAAAAATTATTTTTTACTATGCTGTAGAAAAAATTAATCACATTACTTTGGCAATCATTTTTTCGAATTATATTTTTTATACATTTTTTTATTTATTTTTTCCACTGCATAATAATTTTATTAGGTTTGACTTATGATATTTTTTTGTAATAAAATTTTTTTTCAATTATTTCAATTTTTTTAGACATTTATAATTTTTTTTCCAGTTTTAATTTTTTCATAAATTTTGTATGATTTTTTCTTTTGCAAATGAAGCTATAAATTTTTTAGCTTTAAATTTTTTTAATATTTTTTTTAATCTTTTTAGATATATTTTTATTTATTTTTTTTTCACTATTAATTTCTCTTTGAAAGAAATAAAGATAGTGACTAAAAAATGTTTTATAATCATTAGTATGGCTTTAATGCATTTAACAGTAAAAAATATTGAAAAATATAAATTTTTAAATCACATTTCGGTAAAAACAATTGAATTGGCAGGACATTTTTTTTTTGCAGCTTAGAAAATAAATCGTCGAATTTATTAAAAAAATTTAGTATTTTTAAAAAATTAACACAAAGAAGCCAACTGACCTTTTTTATTTAATATTTTACTTATTTTATTTTATTTTTATTAATATTTTTAGAAGTTTAAATTAATTATAAAAAATATTAATACAAAAGTTATTTATTACAAAAAAGGACATGTTAACATTACTTACGTTTTCTGCTCAGCCTGCCGTTGTTGTTGTTTTCCTATTTTGATTTATACACTGATGAACAGAAATTCAGCCTTTCACATTCGAAAATTCTCAGTTTCGATCACAAAATTATCTTCGTTTAACGATTTGGGTATTTTCGAATTTTTTCCTAGTTCTTTTGCGGTTGTTTTAAGTTCACATTTATTGTTGTAATGTTTGTATATAGTTTTTTTGTTTTGTTTTGTTATTTTTTCTTACAAAAAATCATAAGACTATCAACTTTGACCGCAATTTGTAGTCGCACCGCACGGAAGCATAGACCCAACGTTGAAAACCAAATAAAGGTAAATTTTTTTTATGCAAAAAAGTGAACGAAAAAATAAACGGACCTACAATAGTAAATAGTAATGAGAAATAGCAAAAAAGAATAGCAAAAAAATAGCAGCAAAGTTAAAAGTTACAAAATATGTATTTTTGTTTTTTATGTTTTTTTATTGTTCATTTTTTGGTTTGTTTTCAATTTTTGCCCACAACTCGTTTCCTCTTTATCGCAGCGTTTTCGTATTTTTATAAAAGCGTTTCGTACTTTGTTGTGATTTTTTTGTTTTTTTTTTTGTTCTTTTCGGTGCTGATTTTGGTATTTATTTTTGAGTTTAGGGATTTTTGAAAATTGTTTATGTTATTTTATTAAATGTATTTCTATTTTTATTTTTATTTAAAAATTTTCTTCACCACACAAATTTCAAAATCTTAGTTTACGCACCGCCGCCTAGCACCAAATTGCAGGAAACAACAAAAAAAAATAGCTCAGACGTCCGCTTTAGAGTCGCTCATATGCACATATTATGCATGTACGAGTATGTATGTATGTAGCGTAGGTAAGTCAGAGCCGGAGATCGCTGTCGTACGAACTGTTCAGCGCGAATACTTTATCGAAACTGGTATTAGTTAAACTTTGGTAACGCGGTTTTTTATGAATTACGCCAACAAAGGTGTTCGTTGTTGTATACAGCAGCGGACGTATTGAAAAGTTAAGCGCTGAGATTCGCCCAACAAACAAACAAACAAACAAGCAAACAAGCAAACGAAACAGAAAAAAAACGCTAAGCTTTAAAATAGCTGCGAGCTATGCGGTAAGGCTACATTGGTATGTGTGTATGCATGTATGTGTGTGTGTGTCTATATAGACAAACAGAGAGTTGTTACGTTTGCGCAGGTGTTTACTATTGTTGCTGGCAAGTGTTATTGCCGCTGCTGCTACTGCGCCTACTACTACTACTACTCATATGACCGCTGCGCCAGCGCTGCTCCCACGACAGACACGACTTGATAATAAAGCTCTGCTGCTTATATGGCGCTGTTATTAAGACCCTATAAAACCGTTCTTGGTTTAATTGAAGTTCCTACTGTTTGCTGCTGTATTTGCATTGCAATTAATAATTGCTTGCTTTTGTTGTTGTGTTTTCCTAAACATACACTGTCGAATTCACGCTCTTAGCGTAATCATAAGCGGAGTAGCTTTTATTTATAAAGCTGAGTTTGAGGTTTTGTTGTTGTTATTTTTATTATTTTCATTTATAGCTTAGTCGTTCGAGCTTTTCGAAACTTTATGCTCAAAAGTCTGCTTAAATAATCATTTAATATTATAAATTATTGGCAAGTCAAAAAGCAATTGGTTTCCTGCTTAAAGATACAAAAATATGTTCTTCATCTGAAAATTTCATGTGTCACTCTTTGGCATTTTTTAAGCGCACAAAAATAAGTTTATAAAAGCTCACTTTAAGTAGTAGTAAAAGTCCCCTTTATTTACAATTTACAACACCGCCGACGAAGGAGGCCTTCATAGTTTATTTAAAAACGATTGGAGAGAAAGGAATATCAATTTTTTAACTACAGTCGCCACTCGAGAGGGAATGCCAGACACACCGACTTAAAATATGTAAATGAAAAGGCCGGCGGCCGCGTTAGGCGAGTGGTCAGCATGGCATACTGTCATTCGGAAGGCTTGGGTTCAAATGCTGGTGTTGAAGTAACAACCAAAAAGCTATAGAAAATTAAATTAAGTAAAAAATTATGCTAAAATTTCTAATTGCGGTCGCCCCTAGGCAGGGAATGTCAGCTTTCTCATAAAAAAAACATCAGCCGCGCGGCGGCGGCTTAGTATAAACTGTAGATCCTTCCATATGTTGGAAAAACATCAAGACGTAAACCCACAAACTGGCGGAGGAGCTCGGCCAAAAATCCCTTAAGCGGTTACAAAGTGCCAATCATGTAATTATATTACTGCATTTTACCTAAGATTCTGCGCCCTCAGATCATATAAGAGGCGAGAAAGAAACTAAAGTGGATAACAGTGCTGAGACTCTGAAACTGCTGCTCGACTCCTTTGATGTCTTCCTACAAATGAATTTAAAAAAAGAATAATTGTCTTGCATGTCAGCCAACCGCACTCACGGAGGTCAGCTTGTGTATATAGGAAATGGTTTATATAATTATTAAAAAAAATTTCTTAATAACATTGACCTCTCATAGTTGAAGGAATGTGATGTTGCTTAGCGCATTACCACCTACCACCCACTTAATGAGCCATTTATATATATATATTCATATATGTTTCATGTGATCCCATGAAAGATTCTTACAAAGTGGGACCAAAAAATACGTTTAGCCATAATTTTATGGCACGCCATTTGACATGGCAAATTACATGCAGAACAAATTGGTATGTTAATATGGACATACATATTGTATATATATATATATATATATATTTATTTTTTATTTCTTTGCACAGCATGCCATTTGTCACACAGGGCATACGCACTCTGTTGGTCGGACTGAGCTTCTACAAATGAGTATGTGCGTGTAATCGTACTTGAGCTAATAATTATATAATATATCAAAATTCGTAGTGTGGTAAATGCGTAAAGTACGTAGAAAAAAACTTTAAAAATTCACTTATTCACTTACTTACTAATTTTGACGAGAATTTTCTATGCTTTTTGGGCTTTGCTAATTATAAATTATTATTTTAGCACTGCCAATTTTCTAAGCGTTAATAAGTAATAATTATTTAATAAGCTTAAAAAACAAATTAATTTATGTAAATAGCTATTAAGACATATATGTAAATATATATTTCAGATATAGAGATACATACATCGGTCTAAATGTGTCTCCTGCTGATAAATTGTAACTTTCTCCAGCCACTCCAGTCATAAGCAGATTTGTTTTGAGCTAGTTAGAGGAGTATAGTCTCTTGCTTCGGGGTAAGCAGTCTCCGTCCTCGTCGCGAGAGGGTCGAAAAAGGGTTATATTCGTGGAGCTTATTCAACATATTCGATTTAAGGGCTCAATTAGGACTATATAAATGCGGCGGCCGCGTCAGCCGAGTGGTTAGCATTGCGTACTGCCATTCGGATGACCAAGTTTTAAGTCCGGAAAATTCTATAAAATGAATTTAAATTAAAAAATAATATTATGTAAAATTGCGGTCGCCCCTCGGCAGAGTTTTTCACCCCTCCGTGTATATTTCTGGCATGGAAATAAAGGTTACTCATTAAAAACACTAACAGCCATTGGCAGGCGGCTTAGTATAAACTGTAGTTGGGAAAATATCAAGACGCAAAACCACAAATTGTAGCAGGAGCACAGCGGTTAAAAATCGCCAATTATATATGTATGTATATATAAAGTCTAAACACAGAGTCCATTCACCAGCTGTGAGATTGAAAGCTGGCTTTATAAATCTAATTTTGAAATGTAGCTTCTCGCTCGGCGAGGTTTTGCGCAGAGCTTGGAAATCGGCACGAAAAAAAAGCTTTAATTAAAAGAATAACACTGCCCTGGAAGAAACCTTCCACAGCGATTCTAAAAAGGATTATAATCTGAGCACATGCTTCCGGAATGTGTAATCCTTTAATTGGCTAGACGATGCTAGCCAGCTTATCAATGGTAAAATTCAGGTAAGCATCACCGCTGCCATCCAGGAGACGGAATGGATGAGATAAGTACAGAAAGTAAGGAAAGTTCACCCTCTTGGTTGGAATTGAAGCCCTTATGTTCAACTGCCAACAAAGGTCGTTAGAAGAACTTGTAGATTTTAGTATCACGGTTAAGAGAAAAGACTGCTCATCTTCCAAAGTCGCGTACGATCACCACCTCGCACATTGTGTGGGCGAGTTACCAAACAAACGAGGTGAGCGAAACTCATTTACAGACAGAAAAAGATAGCGGCCGAAATGTGTAAGTACGAAGGGCTTGGGAATTTACAGAAGCAATGATGCAAGAAACTCAGAGCATTTTCATGATGGAGCCAAAAGGAGGGATTTGGAGATCGTGAAGCCTAAGTTTCATTGCCCGACAAAGATATAATTCGAATAGCAATTGCCTACCCTCGAGGTTAGCCGATGGCTTGCCGGCAGAGTTCATCAAACACAATAGCGAAGAACTGGCTATGCCGATTATCATGCAAAGAGTCTCCTCGATATCGCGTATAAGATTCTTTCTACTCATTGAAAGACCAAAAGTTTACTGTCAACGGACTGATTGGACTTCATCAGTATTCAGACCTTGTAAAGCTATAATTGACCAGGAGCTCAAAATAGCATGAAAATGAGCTGTCACTCTAAATTTGGTACCCCGCAAATATTATGTGGCTGTGTAAACTGATAATGAGCTCCATCAAAATTGGCAAGTACTTTTTTAAACTACTCGATACCGAGCGAGGTTTCAAAAACGCATAACTTTTTCAGTTTAATGAAGGAGAGGAAAAGCTGCAGCACTACGTGGGCAAAGAGGAATCCTTTAAGAGAGAGTAAAAATTCTGCAATGATATCATTATCATACGTCTTAACAACCGCATTAAGAATCTACCCTAGACGCGAACTGTTCGAATCTTAAGAAAATTAAACAAAGGCCTCCGCTGAATTGAAGGAGTGCTGGCGCGATATAATTATCAAAGTCATCGACAGTAAGGTTCCAGCTACTCTGACAGCTCTACAACTCTACGAATTTAACAATCCTTTTTCTTTAGCCCCACGGAAGAGCTGTTGTTGGCGTTTTCGACGGGTTTGGAACAGAGAGACAGTGGGGTTAGATGTGTCGTTTTTAGATGTAAAAAGGTGGTTAATGTCGTGCTGGGCATACGCTGGGTTTATCGGGGTCGAGTCTGTATAAGTAGGAGCTTTACTGCTACAATATTCAGAACTTAGTTGCGACAGTATTACGGATGTCTCTCGAGGCAGCTCAAGCTCTTCGATGGCTCCGTGGACACCATTCACAGGGTGGGAGCTTTTGAAAGTGCTGACTAGCTCCTAGTGAATGGCGTTTAGTACCTGCCTGTATGCCGTCCTGTCCAGCATTTGTTGCACTTATTGCCGGTTTGTGTTCTTTAAGTTTAGTACTCCCTTTCTGATGCGTCTGGTTGGAGGTTCAATCTCTATTAGATGCCTGTTGGGGTACTCCTTGCGGTAATATACGGAAGAGCTCATTTCTTTACATAATCTCCACTGTTTTTCTTTTCCTCTACGGCGGCTTATGTTCGGTCTGTCAAAATCTTATATAAATAAGCCGAAACGATACTCTCTTACATTCGAAATAAATTTATTTGATTAGTATTGCAAAACAATATTTTTCTCATGTCATTTTAAAATGTGTAGAGGCAATGTTGTTTTCCATCCAATTCCCATAACCGTGACATCACTTTTCGTGTGCGTATGTGTTGTTGTTGTTTTTGTGTGGTCGCACAATTCCCAAGATCACATGCAATTTTGTTGGGTTAATGCTTTACTTAAATGAAAATTAAAAGTTAAATATTTGTCGAAGCTAAAAAACAAAACCAACAACAAAAAAAGCAACAAGCAAAAAGCAAAAAATCGCAAAACAACACAAATGACTGTAAAATTAACAAATTTACTACATTTGAAATGTTATTTACAAAAGTTGACTCTTGTTGTTGTTCTTGTTGTTGTACAACATACACGTACAACCGTATTTTATTGCACCTGCCGAAAGAATTAAAGTAATTGTTTTCAAATTGCCACAACCTTAGACTTGCCAGCTCGAACTCGAGGTTGTAAGTAAACACATACACATACTACATATATATGTATGTTTGTATATATTAACGACGTACAAAACCAAAATAACAACACCAAACGTAAGCTCTGATTTTAAACAATAAAATAACAACAACTCAATAAGTAACAGCAACTAAATTGGGGTGTGAAAAAAAAATATTCACTCCAACGAAAAAGTTCTGTGGTTATTTCGAAGGCAGCCGAAAGCTTTGAAGTGAAAATTCTATAAATATACATAAATCACTAAAAAATTTGAAAAATATAACATAATTTGGCAAATATAAAAACCGCGAATGAGATTTTATACCAAATTCATATTTTTGAAACTCTAAGCAGCTTCAATTGATGACCAATGGGAAAAATGAAAATATCTAGAGTTGGCCCGGAGATCATATGGCCAGCGGTGTCACTCTTTCGGCGACTTAACCTCATTTTAGTCAACAGGGACTTCTAGCCTAATTCTAGCCAGTCGCCGAGGTAATCTAATGGGAGGTCCAGGAAACAAGCTGTTTCGATGGGGTTGGACCAGAGGGAGAGGGGGGTTAGATAAGTTCGTTTGAGAGGGCATTTGAAGAGGTAGTTAGTGTCGTGCGGAGACTCTCCACATGCAGGGCTGGGTTCTAGTCTGGATAAGTAGGATTTAACCTGCTACAATATCCAGACCCAAGCTGTGTTAGGATCAAGCGGGTCTCTCGAGGCAGTTCGAGCTCGTTGTCTGCTATAGGTGGTGGTTTTTCTCCGAGTACGCCATTCACTGGAAGGGAGCCCTTGAAGGTGTTGACTGACTCCTGGTGGATAGTGTTCAGTTTTTGTCTGTACGCCGTCCTGCCCAGCGGTTGTTGTACATATTGCTGGATTGTGTCCTTTAGGTTTAGTACTCCCTTTCTGATGTGCCTAGGTGGAGGTTCAGCTTCTATTGGGTGCCTACTGGGGTGCTACCTGCGGCAGCATCCTAATATGAACCGCTTGCAAAGCAAAGCATTATGCCCCCTTAACTCGTAACATAGATGCTTCGCTGTGCAAGTGGTACTCCAGCGACATCAGGAGGTTTCCTGTCGCGGTCCTGAGAGCGGTGTTTTGGCAAGCCTGTAGCTTCTTCATCTGCGTCTCGTTCGCCCCCGGCGTCCAGACCGGTGCAGCATAGCAACAAAAGTAATAAATATTCGCTTGAAACTTATCGATTCTATTAAATATTTATTTTCCGTACACTTAGAAATATTTTCTTTTTAAAAAAGAACTTAATATTAATACTGCGTTTATGTCCATATTACTTAGATGCCACCAACTTCATCGTGGGGGCTGTTAACCCCCAGTGGGTGACTCTTACAATAAATAGATTTTCATCAATTCTAAATTACTATATTAACAAAAAACTTAATTAAATCTTATTAAAATTGTACATTTGATTCACTTTCAGCCAATTCAGACAGAGCGCGTTCTCTCAACGCCTCCGATAATATAAGTTGTATTTTAGCTTTTGTTTTCTTTATTAATTGCACATCTTCAAGATTATTCAGGTTGAACGCTACATATTCACCAAACTTCTCATGTGTTTCTTTAACGTTTCCATTGTTTGTGGGTTCTATGTGTGTATCTTTCACATTGTTAGCCGTCGATACGGTGCTGGTGCATCCATCGAAGAGTGGATCTAAACATATTTCTGGTATTTCTTGTTTATATTCCTGTACGGCAACTTTTCTTCGTTTCGATTCTCTTAAAATTGATGATATACGCGAACTTCTTGTATTCCTACTCCGATTTCTATTTCGGGGTTTAGGTGTAGACCATGTTGACGCTTTTGAATATGGAAATATTGACTCGGCCAAAAAAAGTAGTGGTTTGTAATATTCCCACTTTGGTGGGAATGCACTACTGCCCATTTTTACGTTCTTTTTGTGTACTTGCCAAAAGTTTATACGTAAATTTCGTAACTTTTCCTTTACTGATTCGCATGGCATGTCTACGATTTCCGCTACTTCTTCGTATGCTATTTGTTTTAATGTTTTGTTTTTGTATTCGGGATCTTCTCTGGACCAAAGACATTGCCTTTTCTCGGATTCTTCTATTAGTTTCATTGTCAGTGCAGGCGTCCAATGCTAAAATAAGGAAGTTTTGTCTCAGTAAAGGAGTTGTAAAAGAAGAGTTTTATTTACTTACCTTTTCCTCAGTATCGCCCATAATTATAAATTGTTGTAAACAATTGGTAAACTATAAATTAATATTCAAGCGTTGGTATTTGACAAACAATTTTTTTTTCGAACAGCTGTTAGTGCTGCCAGCAGATTTTCTAAATTTTACACTCTGAAAAATTAATAGACACGGCCCGTAATGAAAATCCAACATGTCACGTGAAGCATGTAAAATGACGTACTACACAAATCCTTGATGTCATGCCGATAAGTTTGCGGGCATTGAATACTAGTTTTTTAACGTTATTGCTGCTATAATGAATTTGCAGCTAGGCGAAGCGAAATTGATCAATAAGTTGCTAACAATTAAACTTTCTTAATTTTCATGCGATATATGCAGCACTTTAATGGCGGCATATACCGAGCGGTTTCACTGACCAGACCAGACCGACATACAAAGTTATAGAGAATAAATTTAAGAAATATTAATTTTTTAATTTTGGAAGTCTCTCGGCAGGTAATATCAACATCTACGAGTGTATTAAGGCGGCTTTGAAAAACCTTTAGGCTCCTCCATTTCTTAACATCATAGCGCACACCAAAAGTTGTAGGAAGAGCTTCGCCGTTAGACGCTTAGTGGTTGTCAAGCGCTAATTATAAATATTCATATTACATAGTTAGTTGTATATATGTAAAATTCAGTTTTGCAGGGTTGTCAAAGAATGAAAATAAATTTTTTTAATAAATTTTGAACATTTCAGACTTTTACTCTCGGTTTGTTACCAAAGCTTCCGGCTGTCAGGTGAAGCGAATTTACTTTTATGTGGGTTAACCTTAAAGTTAACAATTTTCGCAAGCAGAAAGCTATCTGGCAGCATTAACATTACCAGTGCTCAGACACACCAGCTTAATTTTGTAGTAGATCAAGCTAGTAGATTCAAAATAAGCGCTTTATATTTTGCTTTTTTAGTTTACGGACATGAATTAAAACTTTTTTAAAAGAAAGAAATGTCTTTGCAAAGACTAAGATGGCAGGAATCTAACAAACATTAACTTGAGCTTAGCAATTGAATCATATATATATATATATATGTACATATATGCTTAAAAAACCCCTTCGGTGTGTCGGAAGTTATTCAGTTGTGGCATCAGGCAATTGTAATTTGAATATTCTCTAACTTTTTAAGGGATCCATTGTACGATAATGCTTCATTCAACAAGACCTTGCAGCAGTCGCAAAGAGTGAAATATCTGTCGAGTTATCCCAATATTCATCAGCCAAGCGTCAGTTACTAAAACTGTTACGAGCAATGGCGCGTCTACGAAATACCAAAGCCGTTGACTTACTATGTACATATGTACATATCTATGTATGTACATTCATATCTACAAACAATGCAATTAGCGCATTTTTTCAAACCAAAAATGTTTTCTGTTTTCAGTATTTGGTCAAATATTTATTTCATTTTTAGTATTTTATTGAGCTATTGTAGGTAACTGTTAATTAGTCGGCGTATTTAAAAAAACAAAACTAACAACAAAATGTGACGACACTTACGGTTGAAGTTTATCTAGTTTAAGGTCACACTCGGGCATTTGCCTTGAGGACCTCTGTACGCGGAATTTATGGCAGTTTAATGGTGTTGATTTATCTTTGATTTTCGACACACGGAATCAAAACGATGTAAGGCACTCCTATCAGATTGGGAAAATTTTGCAATGCCAATCGGATTTAATTCCGATTCCGAATGAAATCTGATTTCAAAACAGCCCATGAAGTTAAAAAGCGAAAATATGTAATATTAAATCCACATCTTTTGCAAATCATCATATTTTAAGAAAACTGACGAAGAGCAAAAGATTTTAATCAACATAAAGCCCGGGTGAGAGCTTTGCGGCTCTTATGCGCCCGCTTTTATGTTCACGGAATGATAGCGTCGTAGTGGGCTGATGCAGCTCAATAGGGTGGTAATATGTTCAGTGACTCACATCTAGTATAAATAAGTGGTTTCATTGTTATCTGACAAGCAGTCTTTGAGCAAGCAAACATAATCGGAAGTGTAAAGTGATATGCGGAAAAAGATCCTTACCACGCAATGAAAATAAGTCGAGAATGTAACTAATAAGATGTCGTTGGCTTACGACAAGTCGGGGGAAACACATAATACGAGTATACCGGTGGCACAGTTTATTTAAACAAGCAAGGGAATCCCACGAAAGTCAACTAAAGCAGAAATAACTCGCAAAATTGGGTGGAATATCAGAAACAATCATACTTAAAATCCTGCACAATCATCTTGGCTTAACGAAGGCTCTCGGATCGTGCGACTCAACACTGCTGGACTACTATTTGTGAGGTTATGTGTAGTAGCTTGCCTACACAGATAAGACCGGTACGATTGGCGACTTGAAAGAGAATAATCGGTCCGTTATTACTGTAAAACCCTAATTACAGCAAAAAGTGGTCGAGAATTGGGCCTTCCGAATGGGATTTATATGTTGTTTGACTTTTCAAATATTCGAAAATTTTTTATTTTTCAATTTTTTTCTTACTTCTCCACTTACATAAATATTTCTTTATAAAAATTTACTTTTTAATAACGCTTTATTTGTAAATTATTCAATATATGAAACTGACAATTAATTATTTAAATACGAATTAAGCATTCAAAATAATTTCTTTTAATTTCTCTATATCTGCATAACCATATACATAATTAAATTAAGTACATTAAATATATAATATAACGTTTCTTTAAATTTTTTTTTTTAATTTTTCAATAATTTTTTTCTTTTTTAATATTTTTGATACAATTTTTTCTTGGGTGGTACGACATTTTAACTGATTCGATTATTTTTCGACTTTCCAATTACTTCTAACGAATACCTAAGCGCCATTAAAAAAATAACGATTATTATTTTCGGTTTTTTATGCTATATTTAAATACATTTTCTGTACTTTATGTCTATGGAATTTCTTATTTATTTTACCTAAATAATAAATATTGTTAAAATATACATATATTTTTAAACTATTCTTCATGGACTATCATGACATTAGTATGCGCCATTTACTTAGTAGCAGCTTTTACGGCTCACCTATGTCTGGCTGGTTTTAGCGGAGGCACTTGTTCATCGTTTATCGTCTTATGTAATTGGCAAAATATTTTTTGTAAATATTTATTTTAGTAATATTTATTTTTGTATAACTATATTGCACAATCTGTTTACTGTCGCGCATAAATAATAGAAAATATATACATATATATGTATGTACTTCTATATATAATAAACATATATACAATATTCGCATTCAATTAACTGTTAATTAACAAGCATTCGATTTTCTACAAGTTTTGGGGTTATGTGGCGATATTTTTGAAAAAATCATATTAAAAGTTTGGGAATTTCGAAAACATATAAAGAAAAAAATATTAAAGGTATACCTAAAAAATAAAAAAGCGCCTTGTTGATAATAAATTAAAAAATTAACTACTGGAAATTCTAGAAATTTAAGAAGCTAAAGAAAAATAATTGGAAAAAATTGCTTGAATGAAAATTTTCTACGAAACTGTAAAGGAAAAAATTAAATAAAATGTTTAAAATTGTATAAGAAATATAGAATAAGAAGTTACTCAATAAAATAAAGTTCTGAACAATTTTAAGAAAAAGAATTATAAAACATCAAAATTAAATAAACAGTTTTGAGATTTGTGGTAGGGCAAGAAAATATTAAAAATTTATATAAATTAATAACAGAATAATGAAAAATTTAATCAACAATTTGCCAAAAAAAACAATGAAAAAAAAAAATTATTTGTAAAACTGATAAGCATTTGACAAAAGAAGTGAAAATTTTAAAATCAAGAAGAATATAGAAAATTAACAAACGAACTTTTTTTTCCAAAATTAACTTTTCGAAGATTCTCAACTTAATAAATGTAACAAAAATTTAAAAACATTTTTCGTAGAATAATGGACTTTATAAGATAAATTAACAAAGACAATATTAAATGATTGTTAGAAATAAAAAATTTATTTAATAAACTAGAAAGAATATTTATTTTATAGCCCTTGAAGCGATTTTCAGCTAAACGATTTATAAATAAAAATTTTATTGAAATATATTTAAATCGACGCTATCATTGCATAATAAAATTTAAAATATCCAAAATTAGAAATAAAAACTACTCGAAGAAGTACATAATTAAAAAAAAAGCATGTCTTAAATTGGACTCGTGGATCTCAAAACTAAGAAAAAGAAGCTATTTTCATAAATGTGGAACGTAAGTGTATTCATAATCAAAATAACACATATTAAAAAATCTAAGTTTTGTGGATTTCGAAAATACATTCCACATAGGTTCCACATTCACATGACTTTTCGTTTGAGCATATTTTTAAAAATAAGCACACATAAATTGTGGTAATTTATATATATTTAAAAATTTGTAATATTCGACATTTTGAGGTTTGACCAGAAAAAACTGTAAATACGATCCACATATGTGCCACAAGTTATTAACATTATAATACATCAAAAGTTTAAGTCTTCAGCTAATGCATACTTTTAGTATATATTGTCAATTTTCTAAATACGAACCACATATGTTCCACAAGTTATTAACATTAAAATACAAAAAAATATATCAGCTAAAGAGCTGAAACTTTCTTTTTATATATAGTGCCAAATTTTTAAATACGACCCACATATGTTCCACAAGTTAATCAAATTAAAATCCACAAAAAACTTAAAAAAATGTTTAATACCAGACAAAATCAATAAAAAATATGTGGTATCATTATTAAAGTACTTTATTTATTCTTGTCTTTTCTTTTATTAAAAAAAAGTACATTTCTAAAAAGCCAATTTGACCTAATAAACAAATTTATATAAATTTAAATTATGACTTTTTTGGTAGACTGTTACAGCTCTTCTTCATCATTTATATATATTATATATGTATATATAAATTAACTAACATAATTCATGCTAGATTGTACTAAGTACATAATAAGCGGTATGTGTATGTATATAATTTTTATAAATTATGTATGTACAAATACGGACAATTTATATCTACAATTTATGTATGTACATATACATATATAGTACAATAAACGGCAATTTATTATTTAAGTATGTACACATGTTTTTAACATTTCTTTACAATTTGATCGCGTGTCACAGAAATAAATACAATTTTATTTATTTACTTATATATATACATATTATGTTTATGCCGCTTTCGTTATAGCAGGTGGTACCAATTTCAGTTAAAACCCAAAATAAAATTTGTAACATTAATAATTTTTTATACACATATCTTTTTGTATATATACTAAACTATAATAAAAGTTAACAATAGGCTGCAATACGCTATATTTAATTATGTATTTTTTTTATTTTTTTTTCATAAATTATTGTATGATTTTTTTTGTTTGTTTGTCAGCACTCACTCATGTTTAAAGCTCCTTAAGATTTGTATAAATTTCCTAATAATTTTCATTTTATATACAACTTTATTCATTTAGCAATATGTATTATGTATCTATGTATATAGCATCCCCGAGTTTACTTCACAGCTGCATGCACCACAATTGCACATCACTATACATACGTGTATATGTATGTATTTACAAATATAAAGTAACAAATTAATGTCACAAAACACTATAGAATTCTTCCAGCCAACCACACCGTCACAACTCTCATGCCACCTGAAAGGCACGCGCATACTCCACAGCATCATGTAGGGTGGGGAAAGTTTCGAACGGACCCTCACCCAAAGCCATACTGTGCACCAACGTATCATAGACACGATCCGATGGACTGGATATGAACATACGCACACCCCTCGCCTTCAGTTCCTTCATTATGTCGGTTATTGTCTTACAGCCCGCCACATCAACGTGTCCCAACATTGAGAAATCCATTATGAGGAAATTGAAAGGATTCAAATGCGCCACTTCGCCATTTTGCGCAGTCATGCCATTTGCTTTCACTGCTGCTGTTGCTGTTTTACTCTGTTGCAGCTTTGTTGTCTCCAAACCGATGCTGCTATATAAAGAATGTCGGAAATACATTTTGGTAGCGAAATTAAGTGAGCCCACGTAGCGAAAGATTTTAGTTTCAGGCACTTCAATGGCATTACGATGATGATTGAGATCCACATAGACCGCAGGCGCTTCGGGTATGGTGCCCAATTGACAGCAATATGGCTTGAGACCCTTAATGTAGAGCGCGAGTAATGAGATCAGTATGCCGATGAGAAGACTGTGGGGAAGAGAGAAAAAACATGAGTACAAAAATTTTTTTTTGGAAATTGATATAGTAAGAATTATAAGCTATAGGGAACTCAAGTTATTCAAGCATGGCGACGAAGAACTGACAAGGTTCAGGCATCAGCTTCTTTGGAGAAGCGGTTCCTACGCCAGTAAAGAAGAAGCTTCTGCATGTCATTGACACCAACTCCTCTAACATTAATTTTTTTACCCGGACTTCCTTGAAAAGCTCTTTTGTACCAGGATTCTTCGAAATGCTGTCTATAACTCAGAAAGGAGAGTACAGAGCATACGTGTGTTTGAGTTCTTGCCAGATCAATGTCCAGAATGATAGAAATTTGTTTGATATGGCTACACCTCGGCAGGAAAGTCGAGTATTAAAAGAATATATGGGACAAGGGAGACCTTTTCCCTTTGATGCTGATCTTCTATTCAATTACATGAACACCCATTACTCGTTTAGGTGCAGCAGGTTAGGTTAGGTTAGGTTACACTGGCCGGCTGATGCGCCTTACATAGGCTGTTCTCTGTTTATTTGCGATTTATTCATTTATGGAACGTAAAGACCCATAGAGAGCCTTAATATCCAATTTCAAAGTCTCCTCTTGTCCTTTGAACTGTATAGATATATCTAAGATGCATTCTTCCTTAGACCGTACTGAAGCCGAGGAGGTGTTCTAACGTCTCATTTATGTCTTCTGCCTTGCACTTCCTGTGGCACGACTACTAATGACCAATTTACTTGCATGGGATGCCAGTAGCTTATGGCCCGCTTTAGGTCAACAGTTGTCCTGCAGTCCTCAAATGTGATATCTTCCTATTAAATTATTATACTAAGCAGAACAGTCAGTCGAGTCCTCAAATTACCATGTCCGCCTCTTTCAAGCTCGTTTAAAGTGTTAAGATTATCATACTAACCCATAATCAATATCAATCAACACCACCAGTATGAACGTCGCCAGCCAGGTGAGCAGTTCCAGTTTGCCTTGCTTCGAGTATTTCTTCAATTCTCGCGCTTGCATGAACATCGGTTTTAGAGCGACAATAATTACGCCCGCCAGCACGCACTGCATGAAAACCACGAAAACAAAAACAAAGAATTAATATATTTAACAAAAAATTAAATTAACATCCACTCACCCGTGGCAGTGTGCTGAAGAATGGACCCATCCATAGTAAAGTCATTATGATCAGTACCGCCGAGACGAGAGATGCCAACTGCGTTACACCACCGGTCTGCTCTTGTATGACCGAACGTGAGAGCGAACACGCCAAGGGATAGCAGGAGAAACAACTCGATATGCAATTCGCCATACCCAATGCGAAGAGCTCTTGATTGGCACGCACTTCATACGAATGTTTCTTCGCGAATGTCAAACCCATAGACATCACCACTGAGAAACTAACAATCGCAATGGCTATTGAGTCGACCGCCACTACTGGTATGAGATCCATACGCGGCAGTTCAGGCATAGGTAAACCTTTTGGTATATCCCCCACCAGTGTTACACCATAATTTTCATTCAGTTGGAGCAGTCGTGAAACCAATGTGCCACCAATGACGGAAATTAACTCGCCGGGGAAGGGTAGGCGGCAGCGTTTACTAAGGCACGGCTTAAGAAACTCATTGCAGATCGTCATGAAGATCATAATGCACACGCAAATGGTTAACGCGACGACATTTGTGCTCGGTATAGATTTGAAGAGATCGATGACGGTAAAGACGATTTTAAATGCGCCCTTATAACGTGGCACCTGCACGCCGAGCACATCTTTCAATTGACTGACGGTAACGTGTACGGCTGCGCCAGTGGTGAAACCATTAACCAGTGGATCGCTTAGCAGCGCTGCTAATGTGCCAAGACGAAAGAAGCCCATGCCGAGCTGAAAAGAAAGAAGATAGGTGATTAGATAATTTGTTGCTTTAAAACTAAAATAAATAAAAGGAGTTAAATCGAACTTGTGGCACTCAAAAACGTTTAAAAGTGGGGAAATAAATAAAATATAATTATAATGCTTTCTACTTAGCAGAAAACGCTCGTTATATATTTGTGGAACGTATATTAATTGGTACATTTTAATTATTTCAATCAGTATAGTGCATATATATTGGAAACATTTATTTTTGTGGATTTTGAAAATACATTCCACATATGTTCCACATTTATATTCTCAAAAAATTTAAAGAAAATGAATTTTTACTAAAAGAAATTAATTGTAAGACATTTTTTTAAGTCCTTACTTACTGATTTCATGTAATCCACAATGTTTGAAAAATCTTTATTCTCGTTTTAAGAACCAAATAATAACGCACTAACAATTCCTGCGCTAACAAATTATGTTTGAAAAAAAAATGCCAAATAATAAAAATTAAAAAAAAACACAAAAGTTTTGAACAATTTTGTTTAATATTAGAACAGATGTGATTCTAATTTTAGACATTTTTTGACATTTGCTAATTTTTTCATTAAAACTTTCAAGTATTTTCCTTCACTGCTCACAATTATTTAACATTAAAATACATTATGTCTTCAAACGTATTATTTGCACCTGCTTATCAATGTTTAAATACGATCCACACATGTTCCACAACTTATTGTCATTAAAATCCAAAAAAATTTGAGTGAGCTGCTCAAAAAAATCTACTTTTGCATATTGTTTTTAATTTTTAATTAAGATCCTGTTATGTTCCACAAGTGGTTATATTTAAACCCTACAAAAAATACCAGATTAATTTCCTCAACACCAATATTTCATCCAAACACTTGCCACTTACATGCAACAAACCCGTACAAAACGCCAACGCCGTCGCCACCTCTATCGGCGTTATAATGTCCGCCACCTTCACAGCTTCAGCCGCACCACCCGCCACCGCCGCCGTGCCATTCACCAACGTCACCGCCGGCGCCAGTAACACACTATCTTCAGTGGCATATGTTTGCACCACCTTCAAAGTCATCATAGATATCACAGCAAACGTACCAATCGATATATGTCTCGAGGTACCCAAAATCATATAAACTAATACAGGAAAAATCGCCAACGCCAAACCACAACCAGGCGTCACACCAGCCAATATGCCGTAAGCCATACCGTGTGGTATATTCATAATCGCCACCGTTATGCCAGCCACCAAATCCCCCATAGCATCGCGACGCAACGAATAGCGTGGCAGCCATTGTACTATCGGCATAATGCCAACGAACAGCGAAAGGAAAGACCAATTATTCCACGAGCGGCGCATACCGGAGGGTATGCTTTTGTCGCGTGCGCCATAACCTGTCTGCTTGATGACCACATCGTGGGAAAGCACATCGCGATGGACGTCATATTTTGGTTGTATTTTTGGTTTATCCGTTAGGTATGCTTGTGTGAGCGGTTTAGTTCTAGAGGAGAGGAAGACAAGAATAAGAGCGTGAAAATGTGTAAGTACAAGTGCGAGAGCAAAAGCGTAAGAACGTAAGAAAGAGAGAGAGGGAGAGAAAGAGTGAAAGTATTTCAATGTTTTCGTAAAAAAATGAAAGCACAAGCAATTGTTTACTATTTTTAAATTTGTTCCGTTTTTTTTTTTTTGTTTAATATTTTTCACTTACTCATTATCACCATTCTGTTGTGCCATCTTGCTCAATGCGCTCGTATCCACATCGGTGTAGCGATGATGCTGCAAACTCTGTTTATACTGTTTGTGACGTAAGCTCGTGAGTGGCGTGAACGAAGCTGTTCGTGGATTTGTTCGTTTCGGCAGTTGTTTGCGCTTTGTACCGGTGGGCTTTGTGGACTTAGTGACCGTCCGTAGAGCTGTTAGTTCGTGAGTTTCGAAAATTGGCGATCCAGCGCTTAATGTACCCACTGACGAAGTGCCTGCTTCGCCACCAATGCCAATGCCGTTACCAAAATCACCGTAATAGTTTTGCACTACACCTTTCCTGTCATCGGCCGTCAAATGTGGTGTTGGTGAGCGTTGTCTTGTTGCGTTGCCGTGTCGCGCTAGTCTGCGTTTGAAATGTTCGAGTGCAAATTTACGAGCGTCTTTCAAATTGATCGGCTTCTATGGAGTGTTTTGTTGATAAGAAAAGGTAATGAAATACACAGAAAAATGAAATTTATTTAGATTAAATTAATGTTTATATTTAAGGGTATGTATGTATATTATGATAACCGTTAGCACCACAATAAACAGTTGTTTGATTCTACCACAACTTCTACTAACTGCATACAAATATATATTTCTACCTATTTATGTATGTATGTATTGTGCATTTCATTTGATGACTGAAGACGTAGACTCAGACATTTTGATGAATTGGTGTTTGGCAGGGTCATAAAAATAAATATGGCCAATTCTTATCTTTATATGTTTGTATACACATATATAAAACACTTTTTAACATCAGATTCCACTGTCAGAAAAGTGATAAAAAAACATATATATATGTACCAGTATACAATTAGACATCGATGACTTTGGTTTTAAAAAACGATACAATGAGGAGAAAAAAGAAGTAAAATATTTTAATGATTTTTTTTTTAAGATATAAAAAGCTCCACAACAAAGCAATTAATATAATTTACTATAAAATAATATGTGTTAAATGCTTATCAAATAATAAAAGCTACAGGGAGGGGCTAGGCATTCCAATATGCATACATACATGTATGTATATAATACATATTAAAAATTAGTGAAACTTTTTGCAACTTTGTTTTTTTAATTTTAATTTTTTTTTTTTTGGAGAGAGTTTTCAAAGCACACATCGCACAAGAGATATGATTTCACACTCATATGTGTATTTTAAGTGGAATTTAATATAATTTTCATTAATTAACACCAAACAAATTACGATTTCAATGATTTCGAATACAATCCACAAATACTTTACATGAAATCTTAGCATACATAAATTGTAAGCACGAGTGCACATCTGTTTGCATTAAAATTTATATGTTCAAATGCATTCCAAATACGTTCCACAAAATGTTTGTGAACGATGAATCACTAAACTAAGCTAAAAAAAACTTTCGTGAAACGTTTACTGTTGGCACTTGCACTTTTCAGCACTCAAAACAAAGCATTTTTCTCACATTTCAACGCTGACAAATACAATCCACAAAAATGTTGGTTATAATCATAACATAAGCTAGCTTTCAACACTTCTAGGTACTTGTTGCGCATGGAATATTATATTTGAGACATGCTCCAAATACTATTCACCAGATTTTTCAATCAGTTGTAGTCAATAAAGTAGGTTAGGGGTGATTAAGATTCTTCCCCGATCAGCGTAATTAAAAAAAATATTATTTGACATATATTTTTGGCTTTAATTCTTAAAATTACTTCCTGTTATTCTACTTCATTTACTAAGTATTTTTTATTACTTATTACTGTATTAGTCAAATCCAATTTGAAAACTAAACAAAGCAAAGTATGTTGCATACGTTCCACAGAAATTGTTCATCTATCATGCTTTAAGCACTTACTAAAAGACTAGTTAAAACTTAAAATCGTATTGCGTGGTAAATAAAAATGCGGTCCACATGAATTCCACTTAAGTTCCACATTGATTTTTACCAAATGCCATGATATTAAATTTAGAGACGATACTAAAACATTTATCCATAGCAACAGGTGCATTGAAGAGAGTACTGAAGATAAGATAAATTTATTTAACGCAATTTTTTACTATTTTTGGCTTTTATTATTTCCTGTATTAAACATTAAACTAAAACATTTGTTTTAAAACCTTTCTATTATATTTTGGTATGTTTTTTCTATTTTTAAAAGTTTTTTTTTCTAATTAATTCGCACGTTCATGCTCAAAAAAATCGTTTACTTTTTCATTTACACTTTTGATTTGAAAAATAAAATTAGCAATTACAAACAATTGCGTTTATTTACCAATTATTCGTACAGCACTAGCACAGTTTTTGTAAAAATATGTTCACACAAGCTTATGATTTGGTTAACTGCGATTTATATCATTTAAACGTGGGCTTTTAAAGACATCTAGGCTGAAACCGCTTGAAATCAATTGCTGCAGCTCCTCCCACTTTAAAAGTTTTTTTTTTTAATTTTTCTTGTTGTTGCCGTTAATTTAACTAATCAACTAGAATATCTTACAAACTGTCACAGCAAATAGGCATACATAAATATGAATATCGTAAACACATATGTATGTATGAAAATGTATGAGAATTTTGAGTTGTCATTGCTGGAAAATATGATACACAAATTACATATGCTAAATAATGCTGTTGACAAGAATCGGCAGGTCAGTAATAGATATGTATCTACATACGTACATATGTATGTATGAGCACATGATAAAGTATGCAAAGCAAATCACAATAATTTTGTTAAGGAAAATTATAAAAAAAAAGAGTGTAATGCGTTATTTTTATGTTTGTTGAAAATAATTCATGTTCCACATAAATTCCACACAACATCCACATATGTTCCACACTAAAACTTGCGCTAAATCTTTTAACAACAAATTTAAAATCAAAATCTATTGAAAATTTATTTATTTTATGTAAGCAATCCCGAAAATTTCGAGCTTACACCCGCCACATCACTAACTGCCACCAAAGTAACAGGCGAACTTAAATGTGAAGTCGATGAGACAACACCACGGTTTTGGCAAAGAAATTATTGGTGGTACAACAAATCATAGCCAATCAGTTGGCATTCGTTGTCGGGTGATTGTGAAATTTGGGAGGCGCAAGCAGAAATAAATTTTTTCAAGCTTGTGTGTCGTATGTAATATGCATAAGAGCACTTGTGAACACTTAGTACACAGTGAATATTATTTATTTATGCTGATATGTCAAATGTGAATATATTTGTTGAGATAAAATTTGATTTCACTCCCGAAAAATTTATTTTGTTGGTAGGCGCGTGTGGGTTTTAAAATAATATTATAAATATATATTTGTAATTAGAAATATTTTGTGAGAAGATCGGCAAGTTTGTGAGCGAGTTTAAAGAATTTTCTAGCCAGCAACTAAGAGATATTAGCAATACAGTTATGTCTAATTTAATTACAAATATTTTCTTAATTTTCTTCATAGTTCGAAGGCCATACCCACACTTCTGGTTCCACGATTTTGTTCATTTTCAATAGTAGTTATAAATTGGTTTTATATTATTAATTATCCTGTAGCCGCTATTTTGTAGAAAAAATAAATAATTTCAATAAACGATTCGAATTTTCGAGGAGAAATATGAATTTGAAAATTTGTATAATGTTTCACACATATCTTAACATTTATTAATTGAAAACGCTTAATTTTTATGAAAATGGTTTTTTTTAAATACTTTCCACAAGCGTTAAGCTAGATTTTTCAAACATTTTTGCATTCAGTGAACAAATATAAAAAAAATTTGTGAAGTTTTGTTGCTTACAAACACTTTTTAATACCAAACTAGAAGCATTTTATTCAAATTCATTACTTTCAAATACGATCCACAAAAATTTTGGTTAAAATCTCAACATGCAGTAATTATAAGCACTAATTGGTAATTATTTTGCTTAAAAAAAAGTGTATTTTCAAATACGCTCCACGTACATTTTAGCAGGTTTTTTCAATCGCTTGGGATGAGTAAACAAAGATAAAGGGGTTCGTGAAATGTTCACTGCCTAAAAATATTTGTATGAGCATATATCTACGTTTTTTTCTCGCATTCATTCCACAAATTGTGGGCACTTTTTATTCAACCAAAAAGTATGCTCTTATATAAGTTCCACATATGACCCATCATATTTTCAACTGTTTACGGTCAATAAACTGAGCTGCAAGCTTTGTTGTAATATCTGCAGTTTAAATACATTTATGTACGTACAAAGATGAGATATTATACTCGAATTTTAATAGTTTCGATTAGAATCCACAAGTAATTGGATTAAATTCTGAACATGAACTTAATGCGTACACTAATGGGTACTCATTTTGAATTAAAAGTTTTAATGTAAATACGTTCCACATACGATCCACAAACATTTTCAATGAAAATTAGTTCAAGAATCAAAAAATTAGCATAAGACTTATATTTGCCCACTTTGTTTTTTTTAAGCGTAGTTCCTTTATCAATGATGAATAATTTAAGTTTCTCCATATGTACAATAGATCACTAAAAACTTGCTAGCACTACTAAATGCTAGACATATATATTTTTTAAATAAATACATATAAATTGTGCTAAAAATTGTTACAAATTGGGCAATCCCTTTTCGTCATAGCTTTTAAGAGAATGATTTCAATTGTTTGGCTGAAAAAAAAACCGCACAGTTTCTGTACTATATGTGCACATACATTTATATATATATGAACTTCAACGAGTACGTACGTAAACATCACGCACATTAAGACGCTAATTACAGCTTTCATTTATTTAAGGTGGATTTGTTGAGCGCAACAAAAGAGATACAAATGTTTATCGAAAAAATCTGTATGTCTGTGAATAAGACAAATTTTATGGAAATTTGAAGTTGAAAGTATTTTTAGACCTTAAGTCACATGTGTGATTTTTTTTCGTATGAAATAACCCAATCGAAAGAAAGAACAACATACAAAAATAAAACTGAAATTAAAAACTTACAGAAATATCAAAAAAAAAAACTCCATTGAAAATTAAAATTGAAATTTAAAAAAAATTTAAAGGCTTTTCTTTTGCCTTTTATTTTTTTAACTTATAACTTAATATAAAAATATTAATAGTTTAGAAGAAAAAAACTTTGCATTATGTAGTGCATTAATTTAGCGTTTAATTAAAAAATAAAACATGGACCACATAGGTTCCACTTATAATCCACTTATGTTCCACATAAATATATAATTAGAATTAGTTAACATTTTTGATTATCGCATCAAAAATTTATTTTAATAAACATAAAAAACAAGTATATGTATGTTTTTGGCGTACTACATCGAAATTTTATCTCCCGCTCTATAGGTAAGCTAAAGTTTAGTTGTTTGACTGATAATTATTTATATACTTTATAGTGAACATCAAGGCAATTACTATCATCAAACACCCAGAGACTATCTTTC